GGCGGCTCCCAGCCCTGTCTGGGCTGGCGAGGGGGGAGACAGAGAAGGGGCTGCGCTGCTAAAAACCCCGCTGGATCCTCCACCCCCCCGTTCTATTTCCAGAGCGCGCCGGGACGTAGCGGGAGCCCCTCCGCGAGGCGTCTGCGCCGCGAGGGTCCCAGCGCTTCGAGGCTGCTGTAAATGAGTGTAAACGGGTCTCCTCCGCGCCCTCCCGGGCAGGGTTCTGCCAAAGGTTTCCTTTTTGCCCCAGAGTTTTTCCCATTTTGGATAGAGCTCCCGAAGCCTCCTGCAGAGGCGCCCGGCCGCCTCAGGGCGAAAGGGGGTTTTATATCGTCGTGGTTTTTGTTTGTTTGTTTGTTTTTTGGTTTCCCGAAGTGCCCCGAAAGGCGCAATTTCGTGCTCCAGGACCATACATTTTGCAATATGTTTGCTTGTTTGTTTTGTTTTGTTTTGTTTTATTTGGGCTCTGACCTTCTGATTCATGAATTAAGAGTTCAGGAGGCAGCAGCCTAGAGCCTCCCCCGCTCGCCGCCTCCCCCAGGCCGTCTTTGCTGTGTTTTGATTTCCCACCAAGGCATTTGTTTCTGTAGAACAAAAATACACGGCTAGACGTTTTCTTCTTCTTTCTTGGCTGCTCCCCACCCCCAATAATGAACCAACGAAAGAAAGGGGAGCAAGAAAAAATCGCGTTTAGGAAGGACCAAGATCCCCTTCCCCGCTTTTTTTTTCTTCCACCAGGTCGTGGCAATCTGGTCAAACTGTGAACCTGTCCCCTACCCGACTCGCTTCCCAAACCGACTTTAAAACTGCGCATTTAGAGATGGTTAAGCCGCACAGGAACGCGCGCAATTAATGAATGATCCGAAAGGCGATGTTGGCTATAGAAAACAGTCGGAATAAACTGATTCCTTAGTAGCTCCGAGACCCGCTCCTTATTGTAAGAGGCGGGCGATGGTGGCAGCGGGAAGCGCGGCGCTTTCCAGCGCTATTCAAAAGCTGTAAAGGAAATGTAAAGAAAACCCAGGCAAATTGCACTATTTCCACCAATTCGCTGATGTGCTGGGAAGAGATTTATTAACGAGCTTGAGGAAAACCAAATAAACCAAAGGGAAATAATAATAATAACAATAATAAGGAAGTCGGCGGTGCTGTCAGAGGATGTGCTAAAGCCAGGCGGAGCAGGGGCTGCCGTGTGGCCGGCCCTGATCCCGGTGCGGGTGCCGGTCCCGGTCTCGTGCCGGGAGCGCCGCGCTGGAGGAGCTCCTGTTTTCCAGCCTCTTCGCTCCCGTGTTTCTTTTTTTTTTTTTTTTTCCTAAGGGATTGGGATCCGCCGGGATGCTGTGCCGCGGGGCGGGGGGAGGAGGGTGCTCTTGGTTTTCCTCTTCGGGCCACGCTCGTTTGAGCGGGATTTGTCTCTTTTTAATTCAAGTGTTGGCCACGCACGGCCCTGGCACACGGCCTCGCTCTCCAGCCCCCGATGACCTTTTAGCAGGTCCCAAAAAGAAGGGGGAAAAGGGGAGGAAAATTGCTACCGGGATTTCGAAAGCGTTTATGGACGAATTCATATATTTGGAGAGAAAAGGTGGGAATTACTCACAAATATTCGCAGGCCTCATTACAATTTAACTCGCTCTCATCCCTGGAAAGTGGGAACTGGTGTAAAGTCAAGGCTGGAGGACTCAAAAAAGGCGACGGCAAAAGGCGCCAGGAGGGACCTCGCGCCCGGGATGGCCGCGGGAAGCGAGGGCGCGTTATATGAGGATATATGCAAGATACAAGGAGCCCCACGGCTTTCCCTGGCAAAATACATAAATAAGTAACAACAAAAAAAAAGTGTCTCGTCTTTGGGGATTTACCTACAAAGCCCCCTCTCCGTGTCCCAGACCTGCTCCTTCGGAGCCACCTTCCAGGCTGGAGCCGACCCAATGAGCCCCGCGTTCAAACCCGTTTGCAAAACGTCAGAACGCTGGCTTTGTACGAGCATCATTTTTGAAAATTATTCGTTTATATTTATTTGGCCTCGCTCCAGGGCAGTGTGTGAAATGCGCGCTATTTGCCGCTTCTCGCTGCCCGGGCAGGAGTTTCTCCTTGCGGCGCCCGCAGAGCTCTCCGAGGGCGAGTTTAACGCGCGGCAGCCCGTGCTCTGAACTGCAGCGTTGTGTTCGTTCCCTTTCCACCTTTTAAAGTGATCTGCTGGTGGATGAAACGACAAAATCATCGGCTTTAAAATAAGCTTAGACGAGTGTCAGCCTGATCCACCCGACACGTTTACGTCTGAGAGGAGTTTGCAACTTCCCGTGTTTCTTTATTTTATTTTATTTTATTAAAAGAAAAAAAAAAGAGCCTCGGAAGAGGCTCTTTAAGTCTCTTTAAGTTGGTTTCCTCGTCCGGGCTAGACGGGAGTCTTGGAAATGTCGGAGGAGGCTTCGGAGCCCCGACCTGCTGCGCGGGCGAGGGACTTAAGGAACGAACCTGCGGCGAGCCTCGGGAAAATGGGATTCGTTTCAGGACTCGTCAAAAATACATATACATATATATAAGTTTATCTATTGTTGTGTGTAAGCGCCTTTGTGGTCTTACAGTCCCAATGTTTCGGCACTTGCAGGCAGGAAACCGAAATGAGGGCAGACGGCCCCGGGATTGAGGATTTCGTCGGGTTTGGCGGCGCCTGGAGAAAGGGAGCCCAGGGTGTCCCCGTGGTCCGTTCAATTTCCTACCCGCGTGGCTAGCGCGTGTCAGCAGAAATAATTTAAAATTAAAATAAATAAATAAATACATTGACGGATGCCCGGAAGTTTAGGCGATTTCCCCAAGCTGCGAAGAGGAAGGGAGCGAAACGGTGGTAGAAACGCTAGACTTTTCGTTTAGCTCTTGAAAGCAGATTTTCCAGTTTGTGGCAGAACAGTTTTAGCGAAGGGAGAGTATTCTTTTCCTACAAATAAAAGAAAGAGAAAGAAAGAAAGCAAGAGAAAGAAAGAGGAGAGGAGAGGAGAGGAGAGGAGAGGAGAGGAGAGAAGAGAAGAGAAGAGAAGAGAAGAGAAGAGAAGAGAAGAGAAGAGAAGAGAAGAGAAGAGAAGAGAAGAGAAGAGAAGAGAAGAGAAGAGAAGAGAAGAGAAGAGAAGAGAAGAGAAGAGAAGAGAAGAGAAGAGAAGAGAAGAGAAGAGAAGAGGACACGAAAAGCACTGCGAGGATTGCGGTGCACCCGCTGCGGGCACGGGCACACTCGCCGCACGTGTATGTGAAAAACTCCGAGGACTCCAGTGGCTTCTCGGAGGCTGTGCTGCAGCCTCAAAGGGTTTAAGAAAGAATTCTTATAAGAAGAAAAATAAACTATAAAAAAGGCACTGAATGGATGCATCTTCCCTCCTGCGGGCAATGGCACGCCGCAGATCCGGCCACCAAGTGCCCACGCGGGCCACCACGGCTGGCACGGCTAGTGGTCCCAGCCTTCTTTGCCTGGAGAAATTAAAAATAATAAAAACAAACAAACAAACAAACAAACAAACAAACAAACAAACAAAATCCCCCCCACCCCCCACGAGATCATATTCCCCTCCAGCCCCATCAAACCCCTCTCTCCGGACCCATAGAAAGCGGGCGGCGGGGCGGGCGGGCACCACGTCTACCCGCGGGGCCGGGCGGGCGGGCCGGGCTCGCGGTGCGCCCCGCTCCCGCGCTAACCATCGCCTTGGTTCCCTTGCAGGTCTGGGCGACGCCTGGGGACAGCCGAGCAGGATAGGGCCCTTGGATAACGTGGCAAAGGAGCTCGGATCCCATTTGCTTCAGGTAGCGTGGACGCCTTCCCCCTCCCGTACGTGCCGCGCCCGGTTATTTGGTGCGATTCCCTTTCCCCTGCCCGTTCAGGGCAGCCTCTGCCTTTAACCCCGAGGAAAGAAAAAAAAAAAAAAAAAGCTGGCTTTCTTTTTCACCCCCGAGCGCT